CTAGCAGGCAAGGCCCAGGCTTGAAAACGCTGGTTCTCAGGGAGAGCTCCTTCAGTGTGTACTCCTCCTTCTCCACTGACCACCCATGTAAAAGGTATTCTTCCCACTGACCACCAATATATGGAGCATTCTTCCCACTGACCACCAATGTAAAAAGCATTCTTCCCAATGGACCACCAATGTAAGGAGCATTCTTCCCACTGACCACCCATGTAAAAGGTATTCTTCCCACTGATCACCAATATAAGGAGCATTCTTCCCACTGACCACCAATGTAAAAAGCATTCTTCCCACTGAATACAAATTTAAGGAACATACTTCCCATTGCAATGTTTTTGTGACAGTAATCCTAAAGCATAAGGTCATCATTGCTGCTGAAAAGACTGCTGAGATCAATCCATCTAGCCTCACAAAAAGTGTATTGGTTAGAGCAGCCATTCTCAACCAGGGTTCCTCCAGAGGATACTAGGCAGAGGATACTAGGGGTTCCTTGAGCTGTGGCTGATTGACCTTCCATTTGTTTGGTGTCTGTACAGTTTTGCGGCCAATGCCATCTGGCAGTGTCAGCAGCAAAACACCAATGATCCTTTTAACTGTCTGTAAGGATAGCATATTGAAGACAACTGTAAGGGCTGCTTTCTTCTCATTGACCACCAATGTAAGTGCCTTTCTTCCCACTGGCCTCCAATGTAAGGAGCATTTTTCCCACTGACGACCCATGTAAAGGGCATTCTTCCCACTGATTTCCAATGTAAGGGGCATTCTTCCAACTGGCCTCCAATTTAAGGGGCATTCTTCCAATTGGCCTCCAATGTAAGGGGCATTTTTCCCACTGACAACCCATGTAAAGGGCATTTTTCCAACTGACCACCAATGTAAGCAGTATTCTTCCCACTGACCACCCATGTAAAAGGTATTCTTCCACTGACCACCAATGTAAGGAGCATTCTTTCTACTGACCACCAATGTAAGGAGCATTCTTTCCACTGACCACCAATGTAAGGAGCATTCTTCCCACTGACCACCCATGTAAAAGGTATTCTTCCCACTGACCACCAATGTAAGGAGCATTCTTCCCAATGACCACCAATGTAAGGAGCATTCTTCCCACTGAATACAAATTTAAGGAACATACTTCCCACTGCAATGTTTCTGTGACAGTAATCCTAATGCATAAGGTCAGCATTGCTGCTGAAAGACTGCTGAGATCAATCCATCTAGCCTCACAAAAAGTGTATTGTTTAAACCAGGCATTCTCAACCAGGGTTCCTCCAGAGCAGGGGTGGGCAAACTGCAGCTCTCCAGCTGTTGTGGAACTACATTTCCCATGAGGCATTGCAACATTACAAAACTGACAGTTACAGCTATGACTTGCAGAGGCCTGATGGAATTGTAGTCCTGCAACAGCTGGAGAGCCGCAGTTTGTCCACCCCTGCTCCAGAGGATACAAGGGGTTCCTTGAGCTCTGGCTGATTGACATTCCATTTTTTTGGTGCCTGTACAGTTTTGAGGCCAATGCCACTTGGCAAAACATCAATGATCATTTTATAACTGTCTATAAGGATATAGTTATAGTTACATAGTTAGTCTGGCTGAAAAAAGACAAAAGTCCATCCAGTTCAACCATAAAAAAAAAAAAGTTATAATCCTATACCCAAAGTTGATCCAGAGGAAAGCAAAAAACCCAGCAAAGCACGATCCAATTTGCTCCTGCAGGGAAAAAAATGTCCTTTCTGGATAGCATTCTTCCATTGACCACCAATGTAAGCACCATTCTTCCCACTGGCCATTAATGTAAGGAGCATTCTTCTCACTGATGACCCATGTAAAGGGCATTCTTCCAATTGATCTCCAATGTAAGGGGCATTCTTCCAACTGGCCTCCAATGTAAGGGACATTTTTCCCACTGACCACCCATGTAAAGGGCATTCTTCCAAATGACCACCAATGTAAGCAACATTCTTCCCACTGACTACCCATGTAAGAGGTATCCTTCCCACTGACCACCAATATATTATTAGCATTATTATTATTATACAGGATTTATATAGTGCCGACAGATTGCGCAGCGCTTTACAAAATGAAGGTAGACCTTACAGTTACAATACAATTTGGTACATGCGGAAACAGAGGGCCCGACTCGTTAGAGCTTACAATCTAGGAGTAAGGAGCATTCTTCCTACTGGCCTCCAATGTAAGGAGCATTCCTTGCACTGACCACCCATGTAAAAGGTATTCTTCCCACTGACCACCAATGTAAGAAACATTCTTCCCACTGGCCTCCAATGTAAAGAGCATTCTTCTCACTGACTACCAATGTAAGGAACATACTTCCCACTGGCTTCCAATGTAAAAGAGCATTCTTCCCACTGACCACCAATTTAAGGTTCGTTCTTGCCACTGGTCACCAATGTAAAGGGAATTTTTCCTGCTGGCCACCAATGTAAAGGGCATTCTTTCCACTGGCCAACAATGTGAGGGGCATTCTTTCCACTGGCCAACAGTGTAAGGGGTATTCTTCCCCTTGACCACCAATGTAAGGAAAATGATTTCCACTGGCCACCAATGTAAGGAAAATTATTCCCTCTGGCCATCAATGTAAGAAGCATTGTTCCCACTGACCATCACGCTAATGTTCCTTGAGCTATACATAATGTCATTATTAGCAGGGGTTCCCTGCAATAGGAAAATAATGCCAAGAATTCCTTCGTGTTAAAAAGGTTGAGAAATGCTGCAGTAGAGGCTCAGGCAGGGACATACAGTATATATTTCCATGTTAATAGTGCAACACCACTTTTGTTGAGAATAATCAATCCCCCTGGGCAATCGTACATTGGAAGGATTTTAACAAACTCTTTATGCTTCCTCTGGCCTGAAATCTTCTTTGGCACTTGTCATGCCTGTGCAGTAACTACCTGTTGAGGTACCCCATCTGAAGTGGTCTCACCCGAGGCACAGAGTATAGGTGGACCACTTACAAGAGCTGGCCCAAAGCACGGTTCACTTGTGATCAGGTACAGTTCACTTCCAATGTGAGTGCACCCAAAGTGCAGATGACCTTCACCAGAACTCCTGAAGATGGAGATGTCCAGGAACCCTAGTGATCCTAGATTTCAGACTAGTGTTCCCGGCTACAGACAATAGATTGATCATATCAAGGCAGGCAGCAAGTGACAGAGTAGTCAGATTCCAGTAGGGGCCTTGGCAGACATCAAGCAAGACAGGTTGCTCCAGGTTGGCAACTCTCCAGCTCCAGCTTTTTGACTCTCAGGTAGCTGGCAATTGAGTGTGGGCAAGGACACAGGGCCCCATGATCCCCTATTGCCCGGAGACCCCATGAGTTGTCACTAAAAATGTTAGGGGTCAGCCCCATTAAAAGGAAGTCAATGCACAGGCATGTGCAAAGTAGATTGTGGGGCAAAGGTGGGTAAACATCAGGAGCTGCCATTGCTCTCAGGCAGACATAAGTGAGCACCTGGGTGGGGATGTTTGGATTAGAGAAGGGGTTGGCTGGTGTTTATTTATTTATTTATTTTTAATAAAAGTGAATTATGTATGAAAGTGTAGTGTGTGTTATATGACTGTGCTGAGAAAAAAAAAAAAAAAGGGTTACAGCATTGGTGTTTCTTTGCTGTTTTTTTCCAATATGCTTCCATCTATACGTTCAATTTCTTCCAAAGCCTGTGGTGAGGAAAAGGAGAAATGGGTGCCGAGCGAGCAACCTGACCCCGAAAAAAAATTGTCAGCTGCCTCAGAAATAGAAATACTACTACTTGATGTACCCAGCAGCAGAGGAAGACAGGAGTGCTAGATCCATGTTTGGCTCCCTTAGGGCAGGAATGATACAAATATATAACTGGGTAAAAATAAGATATGCTTGAAGAAAAATAAATTCTGTAGAGCAATACCTTTCCTATTAAAATACATCATGTTTAAGTATTACTATACGATTGACATGATATCTGACTACGCTTAAACAGATTGCATATCAAATAATTTCTCTATTAAAAAAAAAATGAAATATACATTGTACAAAGACAAGAAAAAAAAAGCCTAATGTGGAATTAATAATATCAGAATCTGAATGCCCTGATTTCTGTCTGAGCAACATCAAAACGCAGCTAATTTCCCTCTATCGGCGAGGAGTGATTATCTCTCAGTGCCCCATGCTGAGCCTATGCAGGCCGACAACCCGGGAGCCAAACGCTGGCAAATCTGCTTTTTGCCTCCGGCAAGCGGAAGAGTTGATTGGGCGACTTAGCAGTGGGGTTAGGTAATTAGAATCTGCATGTATCCAAGCCCCCCTCCATGAAATCTTTCGAGGGAATGAGTGCCTGGGGAGATGTAGTCAGCAAAGTTAAAACTGTAATTTTCATTGGGATCCATAAAAAGAGGCAGCCAACGCTACCGTTACTGCAAATTGTCATCATGGAACCAATTTGGTTGCAGATGGTGCTGGGGTTGGAGTTGTGCCATGCCAGCTGTCTGTAGCGCCATTAAACTGACTGGTCTCTTCAGCTTCTTCTGATGGAAATCTAGCTGAAGGAAAGAAGTCTAGTGTGCTTAGCCATTCTAAGTTTCTTTTGAAAAAAAGGTTTTTGCTTTACTAGAGTAGAGTAGAGTAGAGTACAGGGGCGGACTGACAACTCATCGGGCCCCGGGCAATAGGGGATCATGGGGCCCCTGTGTCCTTGCCCAAACTCAAAAAAGCCTATGAAAAAGGTACCAGGGGCATCTCATGGGGCCCCCTACTGACCCCGGGCCCTCGGGCAGTGCCCGAGTTTCCAAATGGTCAGTCCGCCCCTGGTAAAGTAGAACTTTCATGCCCAAAGAATATAGGTGTCAATGTTGTAGGCCATAGAAAAGCACGACATCATATTGTTAGGAACTTTGTGTTTTGCTTTACGTATTTTAAGGTTCTTTGCGGTGAAAGCAAGGAAGAATAAAAACCAAGTAATGTCAAAAGAGCAATGGCTCATTAGTATATTAATGTGTTTTACTAAACAAATATGCTGCATATACAATTGTAGGAAAAACTATTCAAGACATACAAAGTATTACAAAAATATGCCTACAACATTTACAAGCTACTGTATCTATTCTTCCTAGCAATTAAGAATTTACAATGTATGTGATAGACATACACTAAACAGTTACTTAACTTGTTGCTTCCTGGTGATGGAGTCTTCTTCTTTTTATTCAGATCTCTCTCTCCAAACTGCTCATCAGAGTCCTCCTGAACTACCAGTACTCAGCTCATGGCTGTCCTAGTTTGTGTTAGTATTTTTCCCTCCCTCTACTTTTTGTGGCAGCACTTCCTGTCCTGAGCTCATGAACTAATCCAACAAGTTCATTAGCCAATGAATAGGGAAACAATACTTATATTGTTTAGGGAATACTTAGGGAATACAATATTTATTTATTATAGGTACTTATATAGCGCTATAAATTTATGCAGAGCTTTACATATATATTGTACAGTCACATCAGTCCCTAATCCTCAAGGGGTGTGCAATCTAAGATCCCTAACTCACATTCATACATACACATACTAGGGCCAGTTTAGACAGAAGCCAATTAACCTACCAGCATGTCTTTAGAGTGTGGGAGGAAACTGGAGTACCCGGAGGAAACCCACGCAGGTACAGGGAGAACATGCAAACTCCAGGCAGAGTGGTGCTGTGATTGGGATTCGAACCGACGACCCTAGTACTGCCAGGCGGAAGTGCTAACTATTTAGCCACTGTGCTGCCCAATAACTAAAATAGCCATAGCATTACACTTTGTTCCATGTGGCTCTAGGATACTACATTTCTTTTGTGAAAATAAATTCTGAGTAATGCCTAAAATCAAAAAACTGGAAATATTTCCACTGATCCTGCAGCCTCCTGGGATACTTACATCACATCTCCCAGAAGGCTGGAGGATCGTCTGGAGGGTGGACCTGGCCCGGCATGACATTAGAGCTGGCTACCTGCATTTGGAAGAAGCAGCCAGCTTAGTATAACCAAGATGGTGTATGGAACCCACTGTACGGCATCAGAACAGTGGATTGCAGTTGAACATTGCTGGATTCACTTTACAAGTGAGA